TGGCAATTGTGCACACTGGCCGGCTGCTGGGCAGTGACATCACTGGTTGCAAGGACACTCGGGGAAGAGGGTAGTCAAAGCCTGGAATCCAGCTTTTATCTGTATTTAAAGAACATTTGCTAACTTCTTTAGCTAACCCCTTTGTATGCAGACACAGTTTGGTGAAGGTCCTTTTCTGTTCCACCATGACTGTCCCCTGTGTACAAGGAAGCCCCATAAAGACATGGTTTGGCAAGTTTGGAAAGACCACTCAAGTTACTCCACACCAAAGCCCTGATCTGAACCCTATGGAACACAGGAACATAGTTTCACCACCCCAAATATTGAGTTCAAGTGTACAAAGCCGGCTCTGTAAAGACATGATGTGACCAGAGCGCCGATCTCAACCCTATGGAACACCGGAACATAGTTGCACCAACGGAAATATTGAGTTCAAGTGTTCAAAGCCGGCTCCATAAAGACATGGTGTGACCAGTTGGATGTGGAGGAACTGGAGTGACCTGCACAGAGCCCTGACCTTAACCCTACTGAACACCTTTGGTTGAAGGCTGATTGTGATCCGGGTCTTCTCATCCAACACCAGTACCTGACCTCACAAATGGGTACATTCCCACAGACACCCTCCAAAATTTTGTGGAAAGTCTTCCCAGAAGAGTGGACAATGTTATGGCTGCAAAGAGGTCAACTCGGTATTAATTCCCATGTATTTTGGATGCGATGCCCAACAATCTCATAGAGGTGTGATGGTCGGGTGTCCAGAAATGTTTGTCTGTATTAATGACCGTGGGGGGGAGAGGGGCAACTCATTAATAGCCATGGTTTTGGAATGTCCAAGAAGCCCATAGAGGTGTGATGGTCGGGTGTCCACAAATGTTTGTCTATATTAATGGCCATGGGGGGAGAGAGGCAACTCAGTAATAGCCATGGTTTTGGAATGTCCAAGAAGCCCATAGAGGTGTGATGGTCAGGTGTCCACAAATGTTTGTTTATATTAGTGACCGTGGGGGGGGGGGGCAACTTATTAATGGCCATGGTTTTGGAATGTCCAAGAAGACCATAGAGGTGTGATGGTCGGGTGTCTACAAATGTTTGTCTATATTAATGGCCATGGGGGGAGAGGGGCAACTCATTAATGGCCATGGTTTTGGAATGTCCAAGAAGCCCATAGAGGTGTGATGGTTGGGTGTCCACAAATGTTTGTCTATATTAATGGCCATGGGGGGAGAGGGGCAACTCATTAATGGCCATGGTTTTGGAATGTCCAAGAAGCCCATAGAGGTGTGATGGTTAGGTGTCCACAAATGTTTGTCTATATTAATGACCGTGGGGGGGGGCAACTTATTAATGGCCATGGTTTTGGAATGTCCAAGAAGACCATAGAGGTGTGATGGTTAGGTGTACAAATGTTTGTCTATATTATTGGCCATGGGGGGAGAGGGGCAACTCATTAATGGCCATGATTTTGGAATGTCCAACAAGCTCATAGAGGTGTGATGGTCAGATGTCCACAAATGTTTGTCGGTAATAATGGCCATGGGGGGAGAGGGGCAACTCAGTAATGGCCATGGTTTTAGAATGTCCAAGAAGCCCATAGAGGTGTGATGGTCGGGTGTCCACAAATGTTTGTCTATATTAATGGCCGTCGGGGGAGAGGGGCAACTGAGTAATGGCCATGGTTTTGGAATGTGCAAGAAGCCCATTGAGGTGTGATAGTTAGGTGTCCACAAATGTTTGTCTATATTTATGGCCGTGGGGGGAGAGGGGCAACTCAGTAATGGCCATGGTTTTGGAATGTCCAACAAGCTCATAGAGGTGTGATGGTCAGATGTCCACAAATGTTTGTCGGTAATAATGGCCATGGGGGGAGAGGGGCAATTCATTAATGGCCATGGTTTTGGAATGTACAAGAAGCCTATAGAGGTGTCATGGTCAGGTGTCCACCAACGTTCAGCCATAGTGCATAATGGAACAGGAGGTCATTACTCCATCTTTCTCCACCAAATCTAAGACAGACTGGAGAAATATAATAAACATATAACGTCCTCTACATAAAAGAATACTATTTGCATATATTTTTATTTCTCCTGCTCCGGAATTGTCGGGGGGGGGGGGGGGGTC